TACATTGTTAAATAATACTGGTAATAATGTATGATTTTATTTTCTGACTTTAGTGACTTTCTTTTATGCTGGATTTTGACATCAATATTCATAGGTGAGATTGGGCTCTGGTTTTATTATTTTTGTTGCCATTTTTGTTGGGTATTAATATCAGTGTTATATTAGCTTTCTAAGAACAATGTGTGTATTTTATTTTTTTACTTTGTTCTGAAATAGTTCAAATAGCACTGAAATAATCTATCAAAAATTTCACAGAAGCTGCCTAAGAAACTGTAAAGGAGTGTTATTACTTGGGGATTAGCTCATTAATAACATTTTCTAATTCTTCCATGAAAATTGGTCTGTCTAGATTTTTTTTTCTATCTGACTAATTGTGACAATTTATATTTCCTAGAAAAGCCATTTAGGCATTTATATACACTGAGTTAAGTGAAGCAACTATTCATGGTTTTTTTTTTTTCAGTTTCATTTTTTGTATATTTTATATTTTTTTGGTGTGTTTGTTTTGTTCTTTTTCGAAACTGGGGATTGAACCCAGTGGTGCTTTAATACTGAGCTATATCCCCAGCCATTTTTATTTGTTGTTTTGAAACAGGGTCTCATTAAGTTGATTAGGGACTCCCTAAATTGCTGAGTCTGGCCTCAAAATTATGATCCTCCTGCCTCAGCCTTCTGAGTTGCTGGGGTTATAGGCATGCTATGTTTTGTTCATGTATGAATATGTAACAATGAATTCCACTATTATGTACACCTCAACACTCACAATTTATATGGAAAAAATGCTGTATAGTTATGCTCTCTTCGTTTTCCTTTTTTAGAATGACTAATGTTTATATATTTTATAATTTTTACCCTAAAAAACTCTTAGACTGATTTATTTTTCTGTATTATCATTTGCCTGATTTCTAATGCAATGAGTTAAGCTCTAATCTTTATTATTCTTTCCATCTGTTTGCCTTAGTTTTATTCTTCTTTTAAACTTCTAGAACTAGATGTCAATTTCTTTTTATTCTTATTTGTTAATACTTAGGATTTCAATTTCTTTCTGAGCATTGATTTAGCTATAACCCATAGATTTTGATATTATATGCATTCCTTTACTTTATGGATTTCTTAGACTTTTTAGTTTCCTCTTTAACCAAAGAGTTAATGGAGAGTTTAAATTCTCTCCATGATAAGGTTTTTAGATTTATAATTATTTAAAAATCAATTTCCAGTTTCATTGGAATGCTGTCAGAGAATTTTACCTGCACTATTACCCTATTTTGTAGGTTAATGAATTATCATTTCAATAGTCACATTTTTGTTACTATTGAATGAATACCTTACAGATGGTATATTCTGATTTGTCATTTGAACAAACAAGATCTATCTTATTATTTGTGTTATTTTGGTGCTCAATATTTTTACTTTTCTGAAGCTTTCACAGACTAAGAGAAAAAAATTAAAATCTTCTATCCTGAATGCTTTTCTTTCTACGTCTCTGTATTTTATGTAGGTATTATTTTATGCATTTTTACTATATAATCTTCTTTAAATCTATTTATAACCGCTAGATATTTATTGCAGAATATACCTTTATTGCTATAAAATACCATGTTCATCATGTTTTATCTTGCTTTTCGCCTTAAATTCAATCTTGTTTGATTTTAAGGATGCCAATTCCTATTTTTTTTTTTTTAGTGTGTTGCATCCCTTTTCATAATATAAATTTGCAATCTTTTTATTTACAAGCTTTCAAAAATGCTTTTTCTTTTCTTTTTTGCCATATTAGGGATTGAACCTAGGATCACTCTACCACCAAGCCATACCCCGAGCTGTATATTTTACTTTTTGAGACAAGCTCTCACCGAGTTGCTGAGGCCAGCCTTAAACTGCTATCCTCCAGACTCAACCTTCAAAGTAACTGGGATTGCAAGTGTGCATCACTGAGCCCCACAAAGACATATTGTTTTACATGTGTGTCTTATATAGAGCCCATGGGCCATTTTGCTTAGAGATCTGGTTTGAGTTTTTTCTTCCAAACATAAAGACTGGCCACTTCCAACTTGACTCCCAGAATGTGTTTGCTCCTTCGCTTCCTCCCCTCCTTCACCACGGGCCTCACACTCACACTACAGTGAACACCCCCTGGGCCTCAGTCAAAATGCAGAACACTTCCTCCCTTGTCAAGAACAAATGAGTTATGGTGCATGGTATTGCACCATATCTGATCATAATGGAATGAAACTGGAAATCAATGATAAAAGAAGGAAAGAAAAATCCTACATCACATGGAAAATGCACAATATGTTACTGAATGATCAATGGGTTACAGAAGACATAAAGGAGGA